GGGTCAGCACTGGCCATTCCAACCCTTCCCAGCGCAGGGAGTGGCCGATCCAGTCAGGTCTCAGGAGGCCATTCCTGCCACACCTCCTGCAAAGCAAGTTTTGGGAGCAAGGTGCAGAATCTTCTGTTTCTTCTTCTGATGGAGTCTCATTGTTTTCAGAATCAGAAGTTCAGGAGAGCAAAGGGTCTCAAAGCCCTTTGGTAACACACCTTAGATCTGCACGGTGCTCACTGGGCTCCATGTCACGTACGGAAACATCTGTCCCCTCGTAGCTGTGCAACCTCCCGGAGAAACCTGGGCTCAGAAGGCTACCTGTACAGAGCTCAGGTGTTCTGATGTCCGTGCCAGTGTTCTTTCTGTGTGATACTGCCTTTGTGTGATTTTTACTTAAATTATACTTCAGCCTTGGAAAGCAGGGATGGGCAGAAATGATACTCCACTTTGTTGAGCTGGAACACTGAATAACAAATTCATACAGAAAACCTGGCACAAGAAGGCAGGTCTTGTCATTGGCCAGGACCTGTGTTTTAGTTAAAAGCAACCCAGAGGTGGGGAGCAGCCAAAGAGGCGCAGGGTGGTGTCGGTGGGGGAACAGGGACCAGGACAACCAGACTGGCTATTCAGGGCAACTTCTCATTGTCCAACAGAAAGTTACAACTTCCCCTGCCTCCGTTTCCTCTCTAAAAGTCTCCCAAGGGGCTGGAGGGAGGAGGGGAGTGGGGAGTTACCCTTTGGTGGGTGTGGTTTCAGTTTGGGATGATGAACATCTGGAGATGAATAGTGGTGACGGTTACACAACTTGTCAGGGTATTTAACGCCACTTACAATGGTGGAGGCGGTGCGTTTTATGTTATGTATATTTTACACAAGTTAAAAAATGCACAAAGAGGGGCTAAGTAAAGCTTTCAAAGTTTTTGTCGACTCTGAAAGTCTATGATTTTTATGCTAATTGGAAATTTTCTCCCAGATTAGCCTTACCTTTCTGTTTTCCCTCCCTCATCTCTCAGAACCCTCTCCCACAAGGTTCCAACCCTGCTCCTACTGCAGAAAGTGACACTGAGTGAAACACCTGACAGCGGCATTGTGACCATGGGGAACGTCCGCATTTACTCATGTCCCATGTTACAGGGCTGGGGCAGAGGGACATTCTTTCTGGAATCCTGACGACCTCCTACCCTGACGGGTTGACCTTCTCTGCTAGAAGTGCTACTAGGTATTTAAGAAAAATTAAGATGCATTTAATTAATTGGGCTTGACCTAAAAGCCCGGCTAAGAATCCTTGTCCCTGAAGACGAAGGCTGGGAGGTGGGTTCCGGCCTCCCTACCCCAGCGTACAATGCAGGCGAGTTGCAGGGCTGGGGTTGGAGGGCAGGCACAAAAGCCAAGCATCCATGCCATCCTCAGGCAACTTCTCAGAGGCGGCATGGGTGTGGTGCCCTGCCAGGCCTGGGTCCTAAGAGAAATCCACCACAGCTCAGACTTCCCAGAGAGGGCCATTGGCTCAGAGGGCAGGTGCTGAGCCTCAAGCCCCGAGCTCGGTTCCAGCCTGGGTTTCAGCGCAGGCACCGGGCAGGGGCAGCATTGAGAAGCTGTCGGGTTGGCATGTGGTGCCCAGCCCACCATCACGCCTATACTCCTTTTCAATAAAAGGTGATCAGCGGTCTAAGCTGTCCTGGAACAATTGAATTAATATTAACTTGTTCCTAAGACAGCTTAGTGTTTGATTTTTAGCCCTATTTGACTCTTCTTCCACGCGGAAACATTTCTCTCATCTGTAATATCCTCTCCTCTCCTATTCCCAAAATGTAATCTGTGCAGGGTAAAGAGGTAAGCTGAACCAGGGAAGGTCCTTGTCATTTTGGGAACAGTTCTGAGGCATTGTCACGGATCAGCAGGAAAGGGCTGATGGGCCATGAGGGGGATCGCATGGGCCTGGAGCCAATCATGCAGCAGCTAGCGGTGTGGCTGGTGGTGCTGGGAGTGAGGACTGGAGTTGCACTTGGGAATATTCACACGATGTCTCTACAGGGGAACAGGCTGTAAACTTCAGAGCAGAATCTCCTCCTTTAGGTAACTGGGTGTTCTTGGAAAGCTTTGTAAATCAGATTCCTAGGGTTCAAAGTGATTTATTTTTCTCTTAGCTTTCAAAGATGTGCCTACATATCTCCCTAAAACAGTATGGTGGGACATATGCCAGCTCTGGGGGTAGCAAGCAGCTGGTGTGGAAGCAAGGACCCCAGGAAACGGCTCCTTAGGGGAACACTTCAAGTCACCAACTGAGGAAAAAAAACAAAAAATGCTTGGGTCACTACCCCAAGCACGTGCCTAAATGATAGGCACGTGGAGGCCGAATAAGCACACGTACACAGCTAGGAATGGAGTTGATGAGCCGGCGCCAGGTCGAGGGTGTCCTCAGGGCTCCAGATATGGCTTGCAGCGCAGGCCATGGGAGTTGTCGTGCAGCTCAGTAGAGCACAGGGACACACTCTCAAAAAGATAACACCTGTTACGGTCATCAGGTTCAGAAGACAAGAGCACGGTTGGGGACCAGGCCGGGCCTGGTAATGATATCCAAAGCTCTCGCTTTAGCAGCAAGAGGCCTTCAGGAGGTGGTCCTCCCACCTGTTTCTTAAGCCAGGTCTTTAATGCATAGCTCTCTTCAAATGCACCTGTGGCCATTTTCTTCTGCAATGGATGCTGTGGTAAGGTTCTACTTACCTCCCCCTTGAGAACGCTCTCAACTCACATTGAATAGTTTGACTTTCTATATCTTATTTGTTATTTGTGTCTGAAAATACTAAGTTAGTAGTGCCAAGATGCCTGCTTTCCCTCAGCACCTGCTTATGTGTTCAGAGTTAATTTCAAGGTGGCAACACAGTTCAGAAGAGCTCATTGATGTTTAGAAGGACCGGCATGGAATATACAAGGGCTGTGTGCCACACCTACTACAGCACTGCTAGGTTAACCAGAAGACTTGCAGTTTCCAACCACGCATCCCTTGAGAGTTCCAGTTAATTGAAATTTGAAAACTTTTTGGACCTGCATCAAGACACGTTTTGGCTTTCCTTGTTCAGCACTGATGCCTTAAAGCCTTTGCTTATGTGCCTCATACCACCTCCCTAGGACTTATCTCACTCAGGTCATGCAAAGGCTGCAAGCTTTGGATGAGTAGGAACCTCAGAAATGTGTGCATTTCACAAAGTAGGGCTAAGATGTGTGTGCACGTGCACTTTTGCTTCACTAAATGTAGAACAGAGCATCCGGTTACATCAGTTAACCTCCGCATGTGTTCCTCACCTGGTACCACATTCCCCTGTGCCCCCTGCTTCCTTTAAAGAGAAGAGTAGCAAAGTCACTCACTCTTCTTTCCAAGTCTCCAGAGCTGAAAAAGTTCCCAGATTGCCTTCTAGAACACAGATACCTGGCCTTTCCCTCCCTCTGCTTGCAGATGACATCTCCGATACATGCCAGCAGCACAGGCTGGAGATGCAGGAGCCACCAGGCATCTATAAGCTGAGAGCGGTGGGCTCCACAGGAGCTGGTGCCCATCCTATGAAATGAAACACAAGCAGAGCCAGAAACCCTCCCCGCAGCTTCCTCACTCCCTAAGATACACTTAGGCTACGAATGTGATGTGCACTTCCTCCCACAGCGGAGCATTGCACTGACCCACACCTGCCAGACTTAGTTCTGTGGCATTACCCACATCCTCAGGAGACTACTTCGTCCTGGCAGAACTCCTACTTTCAACCACTTGTCTCTGGCTCAACTCAACTTCATTGGCTTCTTCCACAGAACTTACCAGGTCTTGGGCAGCATGGCCATTCTTGGGTTTTGTGGTCGTTGTCACAATAGGGTAATGGATTTCATTGAGATTAGGTTAAATTAGAATAAAAACACTAAAAACCCATCTAGTTAAGTGAAAAGCTTAGGGCTACAAAGAAGAGTTTTTTCCCCTACAATTCTCTACTTCCTACTTAGAGGAAATCTCTATACTTTTATCCATTACTGGAGATGGAGGCACAGATTTGGAGAAAAGCGTTTCAATGAACTTGGAAAGAAAAAAATGGCAGGGCATGCCAATTCCAAGTTTGCTCAGATTCTCTGGGGTTAAATGTACAATGGTTGTCATTCATTGGTAAGCCAGGTGAGAGGCCTGTTTCCCCACACAGCTTCTAGCCTAGGAGGAGTTTGGAAGCTGATTCATTGTTCTTGCTGGTGGAGGTGTTAGTTCCACTCCCACATCCCCGTCACTACAGAGCATGAGAAAGGTCCCAGGGCAGCATCTCAGTCCCTCTGTCTCTAGGAGGCCTCTGCTCAGGCTCTGGGAGGCAGCCCACTCCAGGGCGCCTCTTCCTTCGCGGTGGGCACAGCCACTGCCCAGAAACCACTGCCATGAAGCCACTGCCATTGCTCCTCATCTGCTCTCAAGCCAGCTGTACACAGCGTGCCAGGTCTCCACAAAATCATAATTAGAATATGATTTTGCTGGAATCTTGAAGGAGGACTAGGGTCCATTGGAGGAACCAGATAAGGAGGGAAAGGGGATAGAAAAAGAGGAAAAAGGGAGGAGGGAGAGGCAAAAGTGGGAATAACTAAAACTAATGTGTTCCTCTCTTTTAGCTGGAAACTAGCCACTCTTTATGATGCCATTTTCCATGAACAAAAAAAAAAAAAATGTGTTCTAAGTTTCCAATAATGAAGTTAAACATTTTCTACATAAAGCCAAACCCGCAAAAGAAGAAAATATCAAGCAAGCATTTAAGAGAAATAGAAGTGTATGTTTTAAAAAAGGCATCTAGGGAGAGTTTTCTATGAAAATTGAACTGAATTACGTTTGTTTGTTTTGTTTGTTTTTCCAGTTGGGATGGAACACCCAGAGAGGCTCTGACGTAACAGTTTATCCTTGACTAGCTGGTCACTTTGGCAAGGCCACTATCACAGAACATATTTAGAAAGACAATCATTGCAGAAAACGGGACAACAATAGCTGCTTCTACCTCCATGCTAGTATTAGGATCAAGATCATCACACTCTGACTCCTCGGAACTGTTCGTCTCCTTGGTGGGCAGCATGAGGAAGGGGAAAGAAAGAGAACACAGTTAGAACACAGGCAGCTTTTGCTAGAGAGCGAGGAGAACTTCAGAGAAGCATGGGCAATGGGAAACTGGGCAGAGAAAGACCAGGTGGGGGTGCGTATCACCAAGGGCGGCAGCATGCTCTGTTCAGGAGTGGAGGCTGGGACCACGGACAGCCGTCATCTCACAGGAAATAGCAATGGAAGCAACCGAATGAAGCATGAGTGCGGTCAAATTTAAACTGCGGTCTTCTGTGTGAGAGGCCGGCCGGCCTTCCCAGATGAGGGTGAGGAGAGAATACAATTTCTTTTCCCCAAGAAGGAGGTTAGAACGGGTTTTGGTTCTTATTTTGCTCAGGAAGGGGAAAAAGTGCCAGGTAGATAATCACACATTAAAGCACAACTGAACCTCAGCCTTCTAATTTCCATTTTCCAGAGTCAGCACTTTCCAGAGGGCACAGTGGAAAGAAAACAGATTACAATGTGTCGAGGTGGGAGGCAGCAAAGGTGTGCCAAAGCCTATAATCAATGAGTTCAGGGTAATAGGTGGATTATTATAAAGCAGTAACTTGCACTTCACCAATGTGCCCCCCTTCCCTGCCATGCACAGGCCTGAGAGCGATGTCTGGATTCTGGGGAAAAGAAACGAAACTTTACCAAGGACACAGTGGCCCTTAAATTCCAAACCTCAGACGTCACAGGGTTGAGGGTTTGGAAAGCATCCCTCATCTCTTTATCCGGCATGTATTTTCAAACCTAGGATACTGACTGCATGGGCAACTTGGAGAACTTTAGTATGAATCAAGCACCTTGCATTTCTAAGAGAATAATGCTGCAGATAATTTTGCTGTAAAACATCTGCACAGTATAAAGTCATAAAAGAAAAAAAGAGATACTTACTTATTTGAATCGAAGTTGCCAGGAGAAATAAAAAAATACAAAATAAATTGATCTTGCATGCAAAATCCTGTTAAACTACCTCCCCTCTGGGTCCCACGCTGGGAAAAAAACAAAAATCCCCATCCTCCCAGATTGCCTCGTGAGGATGCTGCAGGGTGGGAGTAGATGAGAGGTGGGACACAGCTCCGGAATACCTTACTCACTTTAACAGAGACTTTGTTGCCCAGAATATCCTTGGGTTTACGAGACCCTGTGGCTTCATTTTTACCCGTGTTCTCCACTTCCGCCCGCTTTCTCATGCGTAGAGTATGCCATGAACATGACTTCCTGTTGTACCAAAAAATGCACCAATCAAAATGGCAGGTCAGGGCAGGGTGAAGCGGTGGCTGGGCTCGCCACCCGTGGGTGAGTCAGTTGGCGCGGCGCTCCAGTCATGCCCCGGCCTCAGGGGCCCACGCCTGCGCGCCAGCCCCTGTGGCGGTGGGCCGCTGACCTCACCTCCCATGGGAGGCGAGCGAGGGTGGACTTTGACTCCTGACAGATGTGCAAGGTTGACTGCAGCGTTTTAGGAAAACATGAGCAGTAGGTTATGAACCTCTACTGAGGGCCATTTTAAAAAATACTGATGAGGTCTTACAGGACTGAGGAATTCCCTTTCGGAAGGGTATGGTGGATAGGGGAAGAATGGGAGAGGGTGGGAGAAAACGGGAAAGGTAAAAGAAGTATACTCTATAGTGCATATGCTACTGGCACTTTCCCAGGACCAGGTATAGATCACCAAATGGATGACTTTGAGGTTTCCATAACCTCATTTGTACTTGAGCTGTGACCACTCCCAAACACTGTAGCACAGATAGGATTTTCTGGGGCATTCAACTTAATGAACAGTTAAGCGCCACTCATTCATCCGAATAGTTTAGGATAAAGGGTGTTTTGGCCTAGGTTGTCCACATCACTTGGTGTTTGTGAATATAGGGCTCTGTCAAACCACTAAGAGGTTTTCCTGTTGGGAGAAGAACCAAAATACACCCCCAAGGAGGGGAGGGCGGCAATGCCCTTTCACTCTGTCCTAACTTCTTTCTTCCCATGAGGGGGCTGGGAGCTACTTCTTCACAGACCTGCAAAGAGAAGCTCAGAGCAGAGCTCTTGACATGTTAGGACTCAAAGACAAAGATACCAAAAGCCAAGTCACCCCACACCATCAATGGCCCTGGGCAGGCATCATCAATTTCAGACGTGGCCACGGAGTTTGGATGAAGCTCTAATATCATCTGAAACAAGTGAGGTTGGCTTCCTTTCAGTGTCTCCTTGTCAGCTTTAGGCCTATGTAGACCAGAGCTCAATGAAAAGAGCTTTCATTGAGGGAGACAGGAGGGAGTGAGGCATAGGAAATTTAGGAGGAAGGAAGGCACTCCAAAATGTATAGCATCCCCTCCAGAAAGTTTATCATATGTTAGGAATATTAGCATGTTCTGAGAGAAAGCTGCCCCCAAAATATTATTCTCTGACACATATGGTTAAAAATCAACCTTCTGAGCAGGGAAGAGCAATCATAGTCACATTCTTGAAGTTTTTGGGAAAAGTGGGCTCCTTTAAAAGGCAAGAATCTCTTGGCAGACCTTCTCTTGCAGCTCCTAAGCAGGCAGGCTGTCTGGGATCCATGCACACCAGCAGCTCGCCCCACTTGCTGTATCTGAATGGAGGCCAATCATGGAAGCTCACCTTAGATGATATCACTCTGCTAACTTCAGACTTTCATCTCATACCTTTACCCCAAAATCCATGCCTCTAGCTCTTTCTGAGAACATCTTGAGCCAGGCAAATGCTCGCTGAAGACTCCCAGGGCAGACAGCACAGTGTGTGCTTGTGAGTGTGGGGGTGTGTTCCTATGTTTATTAGAACCCTGTGGGTCATTCAGTATGCTTGGTGAGAAACTAGAGACTTCATAAACAACGTTCAGAAGGACTCAGAGCAGTACGAATGGCAGGACAGGCTCAATTTCATATTTTTCATCCTAGAAGAATTCATCATCAAGGTGTGGGGAGCTTCCATCTCTTGGCCACAAGCCCAGAGCTTGATGTGGAAGCCGGGCTTCAGTGACACTGATCCTGTAGGCATCCCACTAACTCTGACCTCTGTGGTCACAGCAGGCCCTGGGGTGGGTGCAGTGAGTGTTCTTCACTGATTAATGACAACCGCCCTTAGTCTGTTGCTCTTCTCCACCCCCACCAATCCTTGTCACCAAGAGCAGTTGACAAGGAACCAAAATGACCAATTTGTATCGAGTCTGTTCTCTCTCACTCAGCCTGACACCCCTCCTACATTCCCTCCCACAGAGGGTGTGAAAAAGTGACCAAAAGACCCAAAGGTGAGGAGGAGGATGAGCTCAGTGCTTGGATAATTAGATCACAAATCATTACGAGTTAGCTCTGTAAGGCCACTGATTAATAAAAACTTCAAAGCCTTGAGAGCCTTTATTCCCAAGGCTTCTTAAAGGGCACCAAAGCCAAGTGCCTTTAGGATAAAGTTAATTGGGCCTATTTGTCCCTTAGGGGTCGCTACTGATTGGCAGCTGGGCCTGTAGTTACCTAGAAAAGCCAGGGTGAGGTCAGTAGACTCTGACACCTGAGCTACAGAAAAGGCCCACGGAACACAGTTCTGCTGGTGACCCTGCTCAGACATCTCTTTTTTTTTTTAATTTATTTTTTCAAATACATTCGTCTCTGCCTACCCCCCACCACTTTCCCTTGCCCCCTCCCTCCTTCCCTCCCTCAGCTCTTCCCCTTTGGTTTTGTCCATGAGTCCTTGCTATATGTTCCTTGTCTTTCCCTTTCCCTCCCTTTTCCCTGCCCCCCTCCCCTCCTTCCTTCCCTCTTGTCTCTGTTGATTTCTTTTCCTTTCAGTGTTGCTGCTCTTATTTTCCTTGCCCACGGAGCACAGTTCTGCTGGTGACCCTGCTCAGACATCTTATGGGAGCTTCTTCCACCCCTGACATCAATGACCGCACAGCATGGAAAGCAGTAGGGGGTGCAAGCCAAACACTACCTTCTCCTCTAGTCATTGATTTACATAAGGACCTCAAGGTCGCCCAGTTGGACAGCATCCAATCTGCATCATTCCTCATCTCAGAGGTTAGAGGGAAACCAATAGGCACTATTTAGAAGGGAAGGCTGGGGTTGGAGCTTTAGCAACTGTTTGTGAAGGAAAATACTGCTAACGCATTCAACCAACTCCTAAAATATAGGAAAGGAAAGAAAAGGAAAGGGGGTGGGGGGAGAATCATTCACATACTTAAAAGTCCCAGAATAGTGAAGTGGGGAAAAAGGGTCAACTAGTCTTTAACCTCATTAAAACATGCTCATGGTGAAAATTTATTTTACATATTTAAAATAGTACATTAAAATTATTAGTTACATTACAGGTACAATGATGAACATTGTGACTCTCCATTATATTGCACAACCTGACTCCATCCATATGGGTTTCTTTAAATAGTGCAAAATACTTTATACAGGAATGTGTTCGGAAGGGTCTTTGCAACCAAAATAAGGAAAAGAAATATCTTACAAATTACCATGAACATATATTAAAGGAACAGGGGAGGGAAAATAAAAAAAAAAAAGTACAATCTGTACAGAGGAATTGCCATAGACAACCAAAAAGTTCCCTCTCTCCTGGGAGAAGCAGCAGGCTTCTAACCTGTACAGGTCTGTCTGGCATTTGTGCTAAAGTAATTTTTTGGTGTCAATCAAAAAAATATATATATATCCGTAACTTAGTACAATATAAATAGAAGTCCAGTCCAGTGAATCCTGTGGTGGGTCAAGTGGAGCAACGGAAGGCATGCTTTTGTCACCTAGGGTCTCAGTAGGGTCCTTTTCTTAATGGGGGGGGAAGAGAGGGGAAAAAATGAACAAAAAGTTATAAACAAAAAGAAAATAAAAACTACCACCACTACCATCAACAAAAGCAAAAAAATTCAGAACAATCCAGCCTGGATGCCCCATGCTGCGTGTGGTCCCAGCACTCAAACATCGGTTCCGGTGGCACTGTCGAGATTAAGCAGCAGTAATTCCCTACCGTGTGTTTGCATTTTTGTGTTCTTTGTTTGTTTTGGAATTTTTTTAATCCACATACTCCTCTCCCAGGGAAGCCAACGAGGCACTTACTTGATGCTCCCGTCACTATTTTCGGCTGCTGCCGTGGCTTTGGTGAGCGGTGCCAGGATGCTGCCCGGGACCCAGCCCTCGGCTGCAGGTGAATGGTCGCTGGCAGGCTGGTACACCAGGCACATGTTCTGCTGGGTGACTGCGAGGACCTGGACCACCTCACCTTGGCTCACACAAATTTCATTCTCCTTCAGTGCATAGTAATCTTTGATCACGGCCATGGATGAGGTCCCATTGCAGCCTCCCAGGTCACTCTGCTGGGAGACAGGGTGAGAGGAACCCAGATACAAGAGGGCTGGTTCACAGGGGCTTGCTCTGCATCCTACTGTGTGGTGAAAAGCCAAACCTCCCACTAGCAGGGTAAATAACAAGCAGCATATTATCTTGAGTAATGACATTATATTCTTGTTTCATCCAATATATAATCAAAGGTGAATAGGTAGAAATACTGCCTGACCTAGATAAAGGTGTAACCACACCTTCCACCCGGAAGCCCCTCCTTAGCATGCAACCTTCCTGCCTGCGTCCTCTGATGGATGGACGGAGAAGCGTGGTACTGGCAATGGGATATATAAGCGGCTGGGCAAAGTGAAGATAGGGCAAACAAGTTAGGGGTCATAGCGCCCAGTGGGAAGAACACAGATGCTTTGATACATTTTTCTTCCTTTTGAAAAAGCATTGGTCTTACTCTACATTCTGACCCTTCTTGAGACAAGAGTAACAATGAGACATTCGCCCAATTCAAAGGCAAGGTCATGACCTACCCTGACCCAACTTCTATGGGAACAGAACTCCTCCAGTTTCCCCTGTACCCGTTTATATGGAGGCCTTGCCTCTGTGGCCCTTTCACGTGGCTCTGCACCAGGGAAGCTGCTTCTAGACAGACCTGTAACTCCCAGGGAGGCCTGGCTGCCTCACAGAGCATAGTGGGAGCCAGAAATTATTCGAAAGCTGTCACAAAATGCCAATGTGACTTCAACTTATTCACAAGAGCAGGAAGTTTTTTAAGGTGGAAAATCATTTCTAGGTGATGTGATGAAATAAGTCAGTACAGTTACTGTAACGCAGAATTGAATTTAGACAGCGTTAATTTTTTTAAAATCGGTATCATCGAATAATTTGGGTAAAAAGAATAAAAGTGTAAAATCAGAACACATAGGTCAAAATGTAGCATTCCTTATCATAGACCCACTGAGTTCCAGAGGAAAGTGAGGCTTAATCTGATTAACTAGCTTGCTGAGGTTCTAGGGCAAGTGAGTTGGAGAATTTGGAATGGAAACTGGATTTACCTAACTCCTAATCTAGCACTTTTTCCCATTTGTTCTCTGGTTCCTACTGCCTTGTAGGATCAAAACAAATGTGTAGACTAGGTCTACAGTTAAGTCTGTGGCTATCCTCAGGAGATGTTTAAATGGTGGATTATGTATGATAAATGTTTAATCCAAGACTGGCTGACCCATGGCACACACGAGTAACTTCTTGCCACATCAGCCAATGGGTAGTAAAGAACTGTGAGCTCATTTTGGCAGCTCATCATTAGAAAAGGCAATCTCTTTAAAATGTCAAACACTAGAGTTGTGACTTATCGATGATCTGCACCATAAGTATTCTATTTGGTATAAATCACCTGTTTTCATAATTTCTACAATAATACGTTATATTTGTATAGAGTTTCTGTAGATGACAATAGCCCTTGAACAGAATGTCTGATCTGGAGGGAACTGGTCTTACACACTCAGTTTGCAGGGAAGAAAGAGAAATAACGGAGAATAGTCTGTATCCAGTGGGCTGTTCCTGCCAAAATGATCACCATAAAAAAATGCTACTTCTGCCCTGGCTGGTGTGGCTCGGCAGACTGAGCACCAGCCTGCGAACCAAAAGGTCGCTGGTTTGATTCCCAGTCAGGGCACGTGCCTGAACTGCAGGCCAGGTCCCCAGCTGGGGGCGTGCAAGAGGCAACGTATTTCTCACATGTCATGATTCTCTCCCTATCTTTCTCCCTCCCTTCCCCTCTCTCTAAAAAATAGATAAATAAAATCTTTAAAAAAAAATGCTACTTCCTAAAGTGAACCCTAAGGTCGTGCCCTCAGAGTGGTAAGGATGGGAATAATGCGCTGTCACTTACCTTGCTGGCCTCAAACTTGTCCCCAGGCTGGTGGTAGTCGAACCCTGGATTGCCATTGGAGGTAGATATCTTCAGGGGTGGCAGAGGCGGGTTATAGCTGGAGCCCTTTGGGGGCTTCTCAGAGCCCATGGGGACGGAGGAATAGGGCCTGGGGCTGGCTTGGGTAGCCCTAGCAGGCTGGGACCTCATCACAGCTGTGCTCCTCTCCTTCCGCTGGTACTCAATCGGTGACTGTAGCGCTGCAGGATGACAGTGGACAGTTACTCCAACCTTTGGGAATTGCATAGGATTTGGAGGCTTCTTAGGGACATGCTCAATGCCAGGCATAATGAGGACACATGAGGAAGACAATGCCCTTATTGTTAAGGAATTTGTAATCTACTGTGAGAATAAGAAACCTACCTGAATAATAAAAATACGCATACAAAGCCCAAATTGTTGTCATATGTGAGGTGCAAAGTGTTGTGCAAAAGAAGGGAGAGAGGGCTCTATAGTATATATGCATGTGTGTGTGTATGTATAGGTGGTGGCGAGAGAGAACTTCAGAAGAGGGCCAGCTGTCAGACTCTGCCACGCAGACTCTGCAGGAAGGAAGCAAGTGTCTGGGGAACAGGATGGAGTCAGATCACGTGGATGACAGTGTATGTCCATGGAGAAAGAGAGGAGATGGGTAGGAGAGGCTGGAGGTGCCATGGTGTGAAAGATCTAGAAAGCCAAGTCTAGATTTAATTCTGAAGATCATGAAAAGTGATTGGATTCAATGAGCCTGAACATTTCAAATTCAGATTCTACCAACAAAGCCACACTCGAAGAACGTTAACCTGTAGCAGTTGGGAGGAGAGACTGCAGAGGCTGATTCAGAGGCCATGAGACAGTAACAAGCGAGAGGCCTAATCAGAGCACAGTTAGTGGGAATGTGAACGGATGTGGTGTGGCAAGTGCCGGGGAGGCAGACTAGACTCTGACCCAGCCTAGGTGGGAAAATAAGGCAAGAATTGAGGGTCATTCAGGTTTGGACACTGGGAAAATGGTGGTCAAGGAGCAAAGATGTGAGCTTTGTTTTACTGAGTTGAAAACAGTAAAGTCCCAAGGTCTGAGTCCTGAACAGCAAGGCAAAAGCAATACAGGTTAAATTCTGTAAATCATGACTTCAAGGGCTGGCCCGATTATGTTGGTTTTATCATATTGACTGTAACAAATACTTAAGTGGGTTAACATCTGGGGCCCAGAGAACTTTCAATTATAAAGGTATTTCTGTAGTGATAGGTATGAACTTCAATAGGACTCAACATAGGCCACACTTCCTTTCTATTTAAGGTCTCAGGAGGGAAAGATGGGCTCTGAGATGCCTGCACATGTCTGCAGGTAAGCCTGGCCCTGGCCCATCATCACATCCTTGTCTCTTGAGTGTGTCAGGGCTCAGCCTTTCTCCCTGGAGAGTGTTCTCTAGGCATACAATATTGAGGTATTGGTAATCCAGTTCCGTAATAGCTTCGCAGTTCACTAAGATTAGGAGAGAGGTCTCTTGGAACCATGTACAAGTCTGAATCATTGACTGTGCTCAGAGAAACGCAGCTCTAAGTTTTAAGCAGATAGCAAAGAGTTGTGAAGCAAGCCTTGTCAAATTAACCTCCTGAGGCAATACCTCTCTCATGGAATTGGGATGTTACCTGATTACACGCAATAACTGTGCGCAAGGATTTGAGCCTGTGTTCTTCCACCAGCCTCAATTTGCAAAACTTAGGTGCCAGCGTCAGGAAAGCTGTGCATGGACTGCCGGGGTTTGCTTCCAGCTAATAAATGCGGTGTCTTATTCCTGAACCTGTTTCTTTCTTTGCTTTGTTTGCTAGGGAGCTCATAGATAAATGTGTGTTCTACCACTAGCAATTATACTACAGTTTTATGGTTAAGAGCCTAATCTTAAGTTACATAGTTCTGGGTTCAAGTCCTTGCTTCTGTGACTTTGGACAAGCTTCTTAACCTCTCTGAGCTTCTTTTTCCTCACCTCGAAAATATACAATGACAGTACTTAGCTTTCCATGTTGATGTGAGGATTAAATGTGACCATACATGTGAAATGCTTTGCATGATGCCTGGCCACGGAGAAAGAATGGCAGCCATCGCTGTTATTTCAATTATTACTGGTTTCAATTTATTGTCCTACCTTATTTTTCTTTTGCCCTGAATGGATGAACTTAGAAACCTTATTCCAGCTTAGAATCTATCAGAAATTACTGATAGAGTTAAATTTAATCAATGTATTTTACATATGCACATATTTTTGCATAAAATTATTTTGTTAACGTAAGTGTTGATTCAAAGTTGTACATTCAGACACTGTAAATTTTATACAACTTTCATTACTATCCTTCGGGGCTGGGCTGGTGTTTAATTTTCAATTTTTTAGAATGAGAAAGAACCCTACAGATAACTTATTTTTTTAAAGAAGCTTTTATTTACTTATTTTTAGAGAGAGAGGAAGGGAGAGAAACATCAATGTGTGGCTGCTTCTCACACACCCCCCACCGGGGACCTGGCCTGCAAGCAACCCAGGCATGTGCCCTGACTGGGAATCAAACTGGCGACCCTTTGGTTCGCAGGCTGGTGCTCAATCCACTGAGCCACACCCACCAGGGTTAATTTATTTTTTTCCTCAAACTATTCTACAGTTGGGGGACCAGTGTGAAACTGCTTTGAAGTTTTATGTCCTATCTTAAAAAAGTCATGGCATTCTGCTATATAATTCTTTTTATTTGTTTTAAGATAAACACAGTGTGTTAAATCTCCTGTCATGGAAGAGATGACTTATCCAGGCTCTCACACTGCTGTCAGTGGAAGGGGCATTTGAACTGATCTGCCAAATTCCCAGTTGTCTCTAGATAACCTGAGGGAACCTGTGAGGGCACCAGCCATTGCCACCAAATGGGAAGACACACGTCATTGATGGCCCCTAAGGGAAAGAGGATGTGCCCATCTCAGACTTTTTCCTCAGTTATTACCAGCTGGTAATGGTGATCACAAGACAAGTATCCTGTGTGTAGGCTATGAGGGAATATCCCTTCTTTTGAAAAGATGGGGCTTCTTTGTAATGCTTCATCTGTTGCACTTGTGTATTCAGGTTCAGAAGAATTCCAAACAATGTGTTTTTGAAAACTACAAAGTTGAACTTCACATAAGACATGATCTGGGCTCACAACACATCATGAACCCAGACCCAAGGAAAATCAGAGGTGTGGGTCCCATAAAATTGCCCTGCTAGAAGTCAGGCCCAGTACCCACCATTTAAGAAGTCTCGCTGTGTTTCTAAGACTTGATTGATGTCCTGCACCCAGGCCTGCTGGATGTCAGGGTTGGCAGCTTGCAGAATGACCCTCTCTGAAGTTTCCCTGTTCATGAGCGCAAACTTGCAGGGGTCATTGTCTACGTTCTCCTCCAGGACCAAGTAATTCATCTAGAAGACATCAAGTCAATCCTTTTCATATTTAAGTGGTTTAATAAAAATCAACAACACATTACAGTTCCTCACAGTTTTTCTTTCAGGAGCCGTTTCCAAAATTTTGCCCTGGATCTAACAGCTAAGTATTTTGGTCTCTGTGTCTGAGAGAATGACCTGACCCTGGAGAACCTGCAGGATCGTGCTAGGGACTGGCATTCAGCCTGCCACTCCTCACAGATATCCAGCCTTCATGCCTGAAGGTTATTAGGTTGGAAGATCTTCAGTGCTCAGGATCCTTACTTACTCCCCTGTCTGAAGGAAGCAGCTTTCCCAAATTTGGCTCTTCCTTGTCCCTACTCATCCCCACTGGATCCTCACCTTGATGCTCCTTTTGAACATGTAGCCCGGGGTGAGAGATCCCTTCCTGAGCAGTTCACTGAAGATGACAATTTGCTCAAAGAGGAACACACGCCTCTCCTTGGTCCGGGACTGCATGCCTGCATCCAGCTCAATCACATAGAATGTGTCCTGCTGCAGCAGCTTCCCCTGAGCGGTCAGGGTGCCCTGGTGGAGAGAAGAGCTAGGGCTGAAGTGAGTGAGAAACAGGGAGATGACTGCAGCCCTCTGGGTCTAAAGATTCTTCCCTCTGGGGACATGGACAGCAGACCTGATACCAAAATCCTCAGGTCTCTAGTAAGACCAAATTTGGATCTACCCATTCATCTAGGGCACACACAAGGGCTCTGTGGAGAAAGGGAAAGAAGGCAGGGAAAGGGTAAGAAGCAGGTCCAGGAAAATTCCTGAAGGAAGATAAAATTATTAGCTAAAAAGATGTTCAGAAATTACCCTAGCCCTTCTTGTTTTTTATTAGAAGAACATAAAGTAAGTGATGCTTGGAGCTCTGAGAAATGTGCCTGCCTGGCTCCCTTGCAGCATGAGTGGCCATGGACTTAGAACCAACCACGGCCAACAGAAGTGATGTAGGCAGCACCACAAATAGTCTGATAAATTGGGCCCCTCTTTACTCTTATTATTTTAAAATGGAGGAAATTCTTGTGAAGTCTTTGTCTCCTTCTACAAATCTACAGGTAAAGTTGGGTTACTGTAGATAGGTACCCATATTTTATAAGCTAGTAGATATTTTTGGAGTCCTGTGATCCGTCTTACAATGCCACCAGCTACCAGGCCACTTGACATGCAGCCTAGGAGGTGAAGCCTATTTCATTTGCCAGTTTCTGACCAGATTTTCAGAGATGTCGTCACATCTTTGAAGAAAATATGGCTCAACCCTACAAGTCTTCGCAGATGCTATCAAAGAGCCTTGCTTTTTCTACCATTCTGCAAAGAGAAGATGCTGACATCTGAGACAGCAGGCCAGAAGGCCTCCTCTGAATCATACTCTCTCAGGTGACAACTTTATCCTTTAATGCAAATTTGGGCCATCCTTTGCACATGGTGCCAAACACTGCCCAGTACATGGGTCATTTTTCTTTCATGCTCCTGGGAAACACCTTACCTCTCCTTGGATCATGCTCCTTACTGTCAATGTCAGCAGGCAAACAGGCTTGTCTCTACCCTGGTCCAAAGTTAATATTAAGCCAGTGACCAGCTAGTCAGGAAAGCTCTAGAAGCTCTATTAATATTGCATAAGAGCCTGACCCATGAGTTATGGCCCTGCCAATGCTGAAGGGAAAGCTAGAGGTTTAAATTTGGGGAGGGAATCGAAGTGAAGGGGTTACCTTCTCCCTGGCCCAAAGCCATGGACTCCAGAAGGAATGGAAATATGTTCATGGTCCTCCCCAATTAGGTGAAGGAATGCAAAGGAGGTTCTCTGGGGCTTGAGGGAAAAAGGAGCCAGTGGTACTTGATTTAAAAGAGAAAACAATTAAACACCCTGGTATGTGGCCTTTTGTGGACACACACATATGCACAATACAGTTCCTATGAATCTGTCTCGAATTAGGCAGCAAATCAGATACTGTTTCTCTTGTCAGTGGTCAGTTTCTCCAGGGACCAAGAGTCAAGCCACACTCCTGCTCAGAAAACATGGAGACTTCAAAGTTTAAGAGCAAAAGGAGTTACTTGTGTTGTCCAGAATAATTTCAGACCTAGCATAAGTCTAACAGAAAAAGTATAAACCTTCACCTAGTATGACTAAAACTCTGCGTAAGAACTCAGAATATGTTTTCTCTGTGTAACCCTCCTGACTTTCCTGCCTCAGGTCTACGGTGTAACACTGGCAACCTATGAAAAAAGAACAGCAAAAAAGATCCTCTACCTACTTCCTGGTCACAATAAAGCAATGGAATCAGACAGGGACAAGAGGATGGGCTGGAAGAGCAGGAGGAAAAAAGAATTTGCCTCAAGAAAACCATGAATCCAACTCAAGAACTCAAACCTGAATATAGCATCTCCTAAATTTACTTATGGACCAGACTGTCTTATATCTATTCTAGTCTACCTCTTTTAATTTAGCCAGAAGAAAAGGTCTATTACTGTCTTAATTATGCCAACTTTCAGGAATCCCTTTTCTCCAAAAAGGAATAATAAAATCTTAGGTAGCAGGATTACCAGGAAACAGGACTGGAAGATGCGCATCTTTCTCTAAGGGGCTCAACAACAACCACGTACCAGTCAATAACTGTGTCAGTTCCAATTTTATCATACTGGTATTCAAACAGATTATGTTTAGTTAATACATGAGGTTTGGATATAAACGAATACTAGCCACTTACTAAGTCTAAGTTAGAAAAATCAACTTGTTCTTTAAAGGTTCATTGTTATGGGTTGAATTGTGTTCCTCTGCAAGTTGTATGTTGAAGTCTCAACACCAGTACTTCAGAATGTGACCTTTTTGGGAGACAGGGTCCCCACAGAATTAAAGCGAGGCCACTGCGGTGATTGTACTTGAGTATGACTGGTGTCCTTATAAAAGGGGGAAATTTGGATCCAGAGGAAAGGTGAGGTGAATATATAGGAAGAATGCCATGTACGCAGAAGATGGCCATTTATCAGCCCAGGAGAGAGACCTGAATAGACCCTTTGCTCACAGCTCTCAGAAGGAACCGCTATGCCTATACCTTGATTCTGGACTTCTAGCTTCTACAAATGTGAGATGATACATGTCTGTTGTTTAAGCCACCCAGTCCGTGGTATTTCATTATGGCAGCCCTAGCAAACAAGTCCATTGACGGAAACCAAAATCCTGGGGCATCTAGCTGTTTCTCCTAAAATTTGATTCTCCTCTTCAAAGAACAAAAAAAATGCTTATTTACCTGGAAAGCCAGCCACTGTATAGACCTGCTTATTAGAACCACCTTCTCAAGAAAGTGTCCCAGTTTCCCTTTGGTTCTATTTCCATCGCAGTCCCACTTTCCCTCACAAAGCTGGCATTTCTCAGGCAAGCGAGAAGAGGGGAGAGGTCATTGCCAGGTCTGCAGTCATAAAGAATTATGGGTCTTTCCAACCCTCTGAATGCTGACTCCAGCTTGGCTGACTGCTCTGTAACTTTCTCTGACTGCCCTGTCACTTGATATCCTAAATAGAAGAGTTTTCTAGGCCTGTGAACCAGAGGGGACAGGCACAAAGGAGTAGATGGTGAGTGAAGAGGCAGAGGAGGCGGGCCCAGGACTTCAAAGGGAAGCCCCCGCAGCCTGGGCCCCTGCTGCCCAGAGGACAGAGAGTTTAGGAGCATTCTTAAGGGCTCACCTCAAAGCCCTGCAGGCGTCCCAGATTCATCATGTCATTGCAGCGTTTTGGAACAAGGCACATTAACTCCACGGCTTTCTGAGGGAAAGAACAAAAGCAGCTCAGGAGGGGGAACAGGAAGCTCAAAGAAGTTTTGTGATGGACGGCAGAGACTCTCTGGTAGTTCCTGATTCTAGGAAAGGACACTGGTCCCTGCTGCCCACTCTCAGAGGACTGTGGGACTGTCTGTTCTAGGTGGGGGAGTTGGTCATCAGTGCAGGGCTTCACACGTGGGGACAACGCTACCCAGCCCACCCCTCTCCTACCTTCCCACTTTTGGTTACCAAGTCCCTTTTCTTCTTGGATGTTCTTTCTTCTCTCTGTTGCTTCCTAGCTGCCCAAGCCGACAGCTTAGCCGGGCTTGTGAACCACTGGAGTTTTTAACCTAAAATAACCTGCCAGAATGGCCAGAGGATTCTTTGGCTTAGAACAATCCCCATGGTGACATTGTTTCAAAGGACTTAAGGAGTAATCCTTGGGGGCCGGGGATGGAATGAAAATGGAATACTTCATATGGTAGATTCAAATGGTACCTGGATTTATGGATACAGTTGCCCACTGAAACACCCAGTCTCTGAAGGATGTTACGGGGCTCAGATATCACACTTTCCCACCACGGGTCACTAGGAGCCACAAGGAGAACACCAGTGGGGCGAAGCTCTGATCAGGCCCAGGACAGAATTCTCAAGTTCTAGAAAAACACTCACTGTATTCATTAGAACTTGCTATTCCCTCATCCTGCTGAGCACCTGCTAGGGGGCTCTTACTGTCCTAGAGGAGTCAGCCTGGACCCTCAGTCAACCAGAGGCAATCTTCCCCCTTTGGAGACAGACATCCAATAAATGTCCCTAGACAGCATTACAAGCAGAAAATACTCACCTCGATATCTGAACACTCCAAACCCGCCTTCTCGCTGTATCTCAGGAAGTCCTAGCAAGTCAGGGAAGCACGGAAGGGTGTGGGAAGGGTGAAATCAGTTGGGAAAATAGAGCACTATAAAAAACCTCGCATCCTGTCAACCATGATAACACCCAAAAGACCTTCCTTCCCAACAGGGGTGGCAATGCTTTGTAGTAGCTGAGATATGAGGTCACAAGTCATAATGTACATATATCACAGAGAAAACCCCCAGGATAGTCAAAGATTCAAAACTGTGAGGAAAGGGAGGGAGGAAGGGAAACAGGGGAGAGAGAGAGTTATGAATAGAGAAGAAAAAGGGATTATGAGAAGAAGGGATGGGAGAAAGGAAAGTTAAATCTCTCTTCCATTTACCTCCTATTTCTGTTAAGACAAATCAAATTAAGCCATTAAAAAGTAAAATACAATCAAATTTTAGATTTTACTCATGTAAGGTTTCTAGGGCCTTTCTTCTTCATTCTGCTTGGATTCCACTCTGATTTTATGCTTATAATTTTTCATTTTTTAAAGGTATTGTACCAAGTTAGTGAAGGAACTCAGTACAAGAGGGAAGTACAAGAAGGGAAGGAGGGAGGGGGGTGGGGAAAAGGAAGGGAAGGGGAAAGTTAAGGAACATATAGCAAGGACTCACGGACAAAACCAAAGGGGAAGAGCTGAGGGAGGGAGGGAGGGAGAAGGCAAGGGAAAGTGGTGGGGGGTAGGCAGAGACAAATGTATTTGAAAAAATAAATTAAAATAAAATTTAAAAAAATAAATAAAATCTTAAAAAAAATAAATTGAAAAAAAGAAAATAAATGAACCAACCTAAAATGTGGGAACAATAGGTATACAATTTTAGGGGGGAGGTAAAGCTGACACAACCAACAGACAAGATAGAAGCCCTCACGTGCCCCCCCATGAGCCCATGGGAAGAGTATGGTGGAGACAGAACCTCCAGCTAAAGTGTTCTGCTAACTCAGAGCCTCCCCTGGCCCTGACCCAGGCTCACAGCTCTCTTACCTTGAGGAGCAACTGATATTTTGTTATTCTCTGAATGGGCTTGATGAGGAAGTCGCTAAGTGTCAGCCTTTGATTTATCTCCTGTTTCACCTCCTGGAACACAAGGGAGTTAGGTTAGAAAAAAAAAGAACCAAATGGGGTGCTCTGGATCAGGGCTCAAGGCAAGGACGACAGGCCTTCATGTTTGCCAATAAAGTTTTAGAATCTTCAAACCACCCAAATGGTAGAGTTGCCTACACAACTGCTATTTTGTTACTAATAACATAGAATACACATCATCACCTTCTGTACGTGAATCACTTTCAAATGCTGTATCCTCACCCCAGTCCTGGGGGACAAGTGGGAATGGGTATTTTGTTCTCTCTACCACTCCAGGGCCAAGTCAGCAATGAAGGGCTTCCCAGGGGACACGGCAACCTGGGTGCCCTCAACTCAGACCTATAAACGCCCCACTGGGGGCTCAGCCAAGTGAGGGTTGCCTCTTCTCCAGCCACATGCACACTTGCAGGCTGCGGCAGAACAAATGGTCTGAGGTACTGGACAGAACCCCTGGGAACAGAAGCAGAGGCTATGAGGTGACTGCAAGCACCTCAACAAGGTGGAGGGTCCTCAGCAAGCAGTCTCCAGGGCTGGTGAGGAACATGTGGGCACAGTCTGCCCTGGGGCCATGTGAGGAGGACCACCAGCCTCTGAAGCATTCCCTGTGTCACAATCATTCTGCACACGGGGGCTTCTAAAAGGGAGCTTCTAAAAGTGGTCCACACACTAGGCCACCTCTGCTCCTCTCCAGCAAAGCGGCTTGTGAGAATTTAGCTAAGAAGCTAATGGCTGTGTCGAGGCAGCTAGCCCTGTCCTGAAGCAGTCACCAGTGCTGTGTAGGAGCCACTAACGGATGGGTGATGGTCAGTGTTTCTGAATGTGACTGTCTTGGCCTGAATTGCCTCCCCGGACCCCAGTTCAGCAAAGCCAGAGCAGCTTACTTCAAAGAAGGCATCGTACTCAGCAACGATGTACTCTGAGCGTGGCTTGTTCTGGCAGTACCACACGTAGATGTGCAGCTTCCGCTCCTGCAAAGGCAGAGGGCAGGCGCTCAGACCCCTCGTGCCTCATGCTGAACCTCAGGGTCTACGAGTGCTCTGCTGGTCTACACAGCGACAGGACACAGATACGGTCCACACCTTGGGGACGCACCAAGGCAGTTACATATCAAGGATAGAAGAGTAAACGGAGTAGCAAGAGCCCATTGTCCAAACTGCCAAGAAAGTTAACTCGGGGAAAGGTGAAAATGAATAGCAGGGGTGAGAGAGGAATTTAAACATGCAAGTAAGCACGGCTGGTGGCATGGGAAGGGAAGAAGGCTCAGGAAACACTCACATGTTTAATAAAAAGCTGTGCCAATCTGTCTTGCTCCTGGATACATTTTTCCAGTTCAGCCAGGAAGAAACTAAAAGGAGGGAGGGGATTAAAAAAAAAGGAAGCCACATTCTTCAGCACTGTATAATTTCTCAAAGCTGAGATAAAAATGACGGAAGACTCTCCCCAAACCCTAGCCCTAAGGTCAGAGGCAGGGGCGAGGGGTCGGAACAGTCCTGGATTCCTAGGACGCCCCAATTCTCAGTGATGTAGTACTTACTCCTTATGCCAGTCATAAATCTGGTGAATATTTCCAAATACGATTTTGTCCTTTCCTCGCATGTCCTCGGGGACACCCTTTTCTTCTATTCTCTTCATGAAGCCCTAGAGGGCAGAGGCAGTGATGAGTTGAGCATCTCCACGAGAAAGCTTTCCGGGGTGAGCATAACACTGCAGCCTCGTGTAGGCGCCCACTCTCTGCATGAGTTTGAGGGCAGGTGCTTCTGTGGTTTCTCACTATTCAACCAGGACTATACCCTTGTACAGGGCGATGCACAACGTTTCTGTAAATTTCTGGATCTTGGACCTGGCTGGGTAGTCAGCTGGTTAGAGTGTCATCCCCATACACCAAAGCTGTGGGTTCGATCCCCCTTCAGGGCACATATAAGAATCAACCAATGAACGCATAAATAGAAGGAACAACAAATTGATATTTCTTTTTCTCTCTCCCCCTCTTCCTCTCTCTCAAAAAAAATCAATAAGTGAATTTCTGGGTCCCTTTCTTTTTCTCCAGTCCCATTAAGAGAGCAGAACAAGACGCCTTTCCTTCTCCTTTCTCCCAATCCAAGTTATGTCTTTAACAACTCAGAATTAGACACATCTGGTCTAGAAATGTCTTAATATGTTAGTACTTTAGACTCTGTAAATGTTATCATGTATGATCTCATTTCAGCTTTCAGGTCCAGTTTTGAGGTTGCCCAGGCTGCATGCATCCCCACCTGACAGATGAGAGAGCCAAGGCGCAGGGAGCCATGTGATCTGCCTCACAGTCGCACCGCTGCTCTCTGGCTGCCCTGGGGCGCAGCCTCCAGAGTCCCCGGCCCTCTAACTCCTGGGCTGGACTCTACACGGAGGCTGCTGCATGTCTGCCTGCCCCCTCCTTCCTTGGAGAAGAGAATAACTTTCCATAAATTAGAATTCGAGTCTTCCGTATGCCAGGTTAGTTCATTTACCCAAGTTCAGGATAAGCAAATACAAACCCTAAGTCAGCCTATTTCATAGGATGGGGACTTAATAGGTCCAAGGTGAGGAACCAGAGGCACTTTAGATATCGGACATTCAATTTTTAGAATTCACATTTTTTTGTATGTAAGATGTTTAGTAACAGGGCTTTAAGCTATCCAAATTACCCATTTACTTTCTTAGACTTTTTTATCCAAGTGTCTAAATCCCCATAAAGTAAACCCTTATGGAGAAAGAGCTGTTTTATTTACTGCCAAGTTGACTCTGAACTGTGGACCTATCAATCTTGCCTTATTAGTGGTTTTTCCTTTGTCTGTCTTCTTGGTATTTGTATTCATAACATTCTCCTTAATATCTGAGGAAATACATAAGCCCCAAGCTTTCACTAAGAGTTACCTGCTTAGTGCAGGTCATGGTGGCTCATAGCTCTGAAGAATATTATGTCCATATGGTTAAACACCAGTGAAAAGCTCAGACAAAAACTGTATCACTTAAAAGAAGGCAAATGTACACAGCCCTAACTAAGAGGCTGTAACATTTGGGGCCCTACCTCCCACTAACTCTCTTATAATAGTCAAGGGGAAAAGAAAAAAAGAAAAAACAATTACCTATGTATTCTAGCTAATCTATTCCCATTTTTAATTTCATTCTTGCAAATACCCAGAGAGAGTAAACTACAAACTCTCAAGGTAAAACACCTGGGCCCAGCTAGGGTCCAATATGCCCCTGGTCAGGTGACCACAGAACCAACCCAAGCCACCTACTCACCTCCACCACAATCCCCAGATCCTTGACATAGTCTTTCTCAGTCTGTACCAGCTCATTCAGGACAAACCTGGGCAGGAGATGAAGAACAATGAGGGTTCCTCTTCACTGTGAAGCAAGAAACCCTCACACTTAAGCTCCCAGGAAAGTTACCCTGGTGCCTTTGTGACGAGACCACCCAGAAGCCCACACCTGGCACCCCTGGGGACGGTGCTCCCTGGTGCTCTCCCCATGAGAGGCCCGCATGGAATGGCTGAGGGACCGCAGCAGAGGGGGCTTTCCCAGATGGCACGCGACATTCAGACAAAGAACGCCACTCACAACCTAGCTCTCTTCATCCTATTCTTTATGCTTCTGCCTCCCTCACCTGTGGCTGAACAATTGTAGAGACACAGGGCAGAAAGAATGACAACACTTTGGCAAAACTGAGTTATGAAAGCTTGAGGCCAAGGGATCAACATGAGACTTTTCTTCCTTCATTTCAGCTCTGTTCTTCACTTGACAAGAGGAGAAAGACATTTGCTTGATAGCAAACCTCTGAGGCCTCAGAGATATGACATCAAGTGAAGCTTTTGAGATATAGAGACTATAATTCTCTAGGTATCCATGGTAACTGGCCTGCAAAATCCCCAGTCAAGGCCAACGAGATTGACTGCAGACATTCCGAAATCACAACTTTGAATGCACAACCTCTCTCCTCACCACCAGATGTGGGATTTAACAACTTCAATGACATTTGCTTTCTTGGTTTCTTTCTTGTTAATCATTTCTTCCTCTTAGAGCATTTACTTTGCACCAGTTGCTTTATCTGGGTTTTCTCATGCTTATAACAAGGTAGGGATTTTAAACCCTATTGTATGTAGATGAAAACACTCAGGAGGTATTGCCCAAGAGGATGAAGTGAGTAGCGGAGCTGAGATTTGGACCCAGTTGTACAAGAGCTCAAAGGGTCTACTCCCTCCCTGTCACCCACTGCCTGGGAAATGACTCAGACAGGCTCTCTGCAGTCCCTGAGGCATCAAACCCAAACACTTCTCTTTCTGTCCAGACAGTAAAGAGCTAGACACAAAACACTGAGGGCTGTGCACCAGCACAAGCTAGGTACTGTGTGGCTCGCTGAGGTCTGAAGGGTATTATCTAAATTTGAAAGAGTTTTGCCTGGAGCCACGCAACTGCATTTTTGGCCCAAGTGGCAGAAGGGATAAAGTTTTGAGATGTCAAAAAGGGGCCCCAGCCACAAGGGTTGAACCCCGGAAGCAATTCATTTGAAATTCTTGATCTATACAGCACAGAGAAGCCACCAAATCCCCGGGTCTGGGACCTTGGGGCAGCGGGGAGGAAGGCAGGGGAACACATGCCTCTTTATCAGCATGCCCAGCACTGCCAACCGGCTCCCTCTCTCTAAGACACACGATCATGTGTTGTAGGCCACAGGAAGGAACTGGCAAGGCCAAATAAAAGCATTTAAATATATCTTTAGCACAGCCCAAGTTACTGCTTGGAAGAAAGTGGTAAAGGAAAACCAGTAGGGAAGTTAAAGTGGGAATTTGGGGCTAGAAGGGTGCTCTGAAGATGAAGTCCAGCTCTCTTTTTCTAGGCGATATTTTTATCCTAAACTGTCTGCTGAGACATTGAGGGCTGTCTTGGGAATGGGACTGGACAAGGCGCTGCTAGTGGATCTGGCATCTCTTCCCTTGAAGGCCTCTCTCATTTTCCCCACACTTGTGGCAACCCTTGCTCTTTGCCTCCTGCACACATGTGCACCAGGGTCTGTGGACTCTGGATGCCACTTACATCCTGCCTCGCAGGGCCTTGGCTTTCTGTTCTTCTTCCAGGTTTCTAGTAGGTGTGGGTGGGGTCATCCCCTCATTCAGGCAGCCTGGTGGGTCTTTCAAGCTCCCCCGGTATGAGCCTCCTTCTAGGCTCTGAAAAAAAGAAGAACAAACAGCCTTAGAGAAGTATGCACTGAAAAGTCCTCTGGAAGGCCCCGTGTTCCCGCCCCAGCCCCTCACAGCCCTCCCCGCTCCCACCCCAGCCACAGGCAACTGGGCAGATCTGTGGCCAAAGCTGTTCTCACTGAACCTCAGTGAAAGCTCCAGGAGACCAGAGATTCCCATCTTCCCTCAGCAGGGTGACCAGAGCTGCCGCCTTCCCAGGCAATCAGGATGTGCTTGGCAGCATGTGCTGCCTGCCAATTTCCCAAACATCAGACAGATTGAAAATTGTCAAAGTCATTTATCTCTGGGTGAGGGCTCCAGAGGTGAAGCTAATCATGGCAATTCTAAACAAACAAGCAGTTAGAAAAAAAAAAATCAGAGGTGGGAACATCAAGTGCAAATGATAGGGGAGGGTAGTGATAGGAAAACTAGTTTGTTTAAAATCCTGTTTGTTTAATCAGCTACAATGTTTTTTTGAAGAGGTCAATAGATTTAGCCTTTTTCTAAAAAGATCTTTGCTAAGGCTATTTACCAAGGGCTTCCTTTCATTTATTAATCTCTTTCATTTCTTTTAATTAAGTTGCTGTGGGACTGAGAAACATTTAAAGGGATTAATATGGTTCTTAGAAAGAGCTAAGTGTAAAGCATTCTAACCCCAGATCTGCTAGTGACTGGATTATTTTAAGTGAGACAGCTAAAGTTATTATATGCTTCAGTATTCCTCAATTTGCAAATCAGAACTCTCCTTTCTACAGATTTCAAAGGAATAAAAGTACCAGGGAAGAAAGATCACACAGTGACACTTAGCATTTCATTATGCAGATTGGCAGAAGCAGTGTGGATGCACAATAAGACTGAAGATCAAGTCAATGTGTACAACTGTAAAACAAATATGGGATATTAATCCAAATTCTCCATACAAGATGCCTGTCTAAGACAGCCACTGTGGCTAAAAAGAAAGACTTCACTTTACTCATCTTTGAAAACATCAGTCTTAAGGTTGAAGTCACAAAGATCAAAAGGGGTCCCCAAAATCTCTGGCTGGATAGCTCAATTGCTTAGAGCATCATCCCTATACGCCAGGGTTGCCATATTCAGTTCCCAGTCAGGGCACACAAAAAGCAACCAATGAATGCATAAATACGTGGAATAACAAATTGATGTCTCTCTTTCAAAAAAAAAAAAAAATTGTCCTAAAAGGTAATAGGAACAAAAGGCTTCAGCATGGTCTTAAACAACATGCACTTGGAATACCTGTCATAAACTCTCTAAGCTGCTGTATTTCAACATAGGCCAAACAGGTAGGAAAAGTCCAGGAAAATGAAACAAAAAGCAAAGATGGGCTCAATGGGCCGCTACATGAGAACAGGTGGAGTATATTAAGACTTGACGCTGAAAATCTTAAAGCTGAGAAGAGATGTCAGCCTTCTTTCCCCCTGGCACCCCTCCACTCGACCCTCAAATCAACAGAATGTGCTAAGGGCCAAACAGGAATCTGTGACCAACAGTAGGAACTAGAGTTAAAAAGATAGAGTTTTTCAGCTTGAGAAAGAGAATTTCTTTTAATTTGACAGGAAGGTGTTTTATAGAACAAGTAATCAACCATGGGTGCTGTTATCCAGAGAAGCAGCAGAGGCTAAAAATATAGAAAGGTCAAGAAGAGTTTAGCTAAATTTATAGGTTCAGGATCTCTAACCAGTTATTAAGGAAATGAGTGTCTGGTGCTGAGGCTTGACAAGCCACCAGTCAGGCAGGCTTTTCAGTGACATGTGACATGTCCCCAGGTGCCATCACCAGAGACAAGCTCCCCAGGCAGATGCACTCAGTGAGTGAGTGATCTGATTACATGTCTTTTACTTCCCTCCTGTCCTCCCCAATGTCCTGCTATAGTCTGTTCTGCAGCCTGTTGGTTGGCAGGATGCTGGCTGCAAGGCCTGGGAAACAAGCTTATATCTCTGCCTGCGAGGTTCTCTTGTGGAACATCCAGCTTGGCATGGTCCATTCTCAGCTCTTCTGCAGAATGAAGGACATCTGAGGAGTCCAAAATGTCAGGCAGAAAAATATGTTCCATCTCCTCCTGCCTGACCTGCTATAAGAGCCAAGAAGCCCGTTATCTTTGGGATGCAGCTGAGAGGAAGAAGGGGGAAATAAAGGGTTCGGCTCAGCGGTATGCTGGGTAATCTGCCTTGAATACTGGCATTGGCTATAGATACTTAAAATAATTCAACTGAAGACTTAGCTACCTGTGCCAGAGTTGGGATACTAGGTCCCACTCAAGGGCCACTAGGGGCGACCATCAGTCGTTGGTGCTGCTCCAGTGGAGGCTGGCTGATGTGTGCTGGGCTGTGCACCGCCACAGGGACAACTGCCTGCCAGGGCTCAGGCCACCACAGTCTCAGCAGACAAAGGAAAAGGTGTACAAAGGAGGGAGGAACAAAAGTTGCACAATGGGTGCTCATAGAGTTGGTCCAAGGTCGGGGAATAGAAATGCAAATAGAATTCAAAAAAGTTGACAAAGTGTGGAGGAAGGCTGTCCCCATGTTAAAAATGAACACATTTCCTGTCCACTGGGTCTTGGATCACATACCCATAAAACGCCCTTCCTCTGGGCGCCGATGGCCACCCTTAACACACCCCCTGAACAGCATTCATGGCACAGTATTATAAACAACTGTTTGTTCTGTAGTAAAGCACATAGGTATCTACATGCTGAATATTTGCAATGTGCTGGAGAAACAATGAAGAGGATATGGCTCCCTGCCCTCCATAATCTAGGCTGCCATGAGTGTTCTTCCAGACAGAAGAGGTACCAGGGAGGAGGAAAAAGGAGCTGGCAGCTCTACAGTGGGGTAGCAAGGAAAGGAAAAAGCTTAATAGAAGAGGCAACTTGAATTGAGGATTGAGAAATGAACACAGTTTTATTGGATATACCAATGGGAGGACATACCAGAACAGCACTGAGAGTAAAGGATCAAGTTGTGAGACTACACAGGGCAGCCTGGGAAGCTGCAAGCTGTCTGGTATAGGTAGGAGGTGGGGGTGGAGAAGTGACAAACAACTGTGTTATGTGAGCTGGGGGTAAGTCAGTACTAGGGAAAGAGGTAAGGAATGAACTAGATAACCACGGAGAAGTATGCAGGGGTCAGATCATAAGGAGCCTTGTGTGGAGCATTAAGAGGTAGAGACTTTACCTTCTAACACCAATGATAGAATTTTATGCAAGGAGGCAAAGTCATTGAATTTAAGTTTTAGAAAGATCAGTCTTGATGTTTCTTTTCATGACTTGGGAAAATGTCTCTGATATGATAGTAAAGGAAAACAGGCCTTAAATTTTATATGCTCTATGATTGCATTATCTAAAAAAAGTCTAGAAGAAAAGATATCTAAATTTCAACACTGAATATAGCTAGATGATGATGAGTGATATAATTTGTACTCTTGTTGTTTTTCCAATTTTTCTTTAATGAGCATATATTGCTTTTATTAGTCAAAAAGAACAATTAAAAAGCTTCTTCTTCTTCTTTTTTTTTTTAAAGAAAGAAAATAAAGATCCCTCTGGCAGTAAAGTAAAGAGATAGAATGAAATCCAAGAGAAAATGGTTGCAATAGTCCAGACAGGAGAGCATTTTGAGCATTGACCCTAGACTACCAGTCCCATTAAGGAAGGTTTTGTGCTTGATCTCAGAGCTGGCACATAGCAGGACCCCAAGAATTTACTGAATATGCTGTGGTACTCTTGCAGAGGTCAAAGCTCATCTGATGAAACAAGTAAGGTGCTAGTCCAGCACCGCCTACCACACCAACCTCTTGTCTGCCCCTTCCTTTTATACAAATGTGTATAATATTCTTTGGATGAAAGGTATTAGATCTCAGTCATTCCCAGGAGAGTTGGGGGTGAGGGTAGGGAGAACAAGTACAGAGTAGAAAAACTGAAGTCCAGTTTTTTCCAGGCAACTGACACCTAGGTTTGTGACTTCGGGTTAAACATTTTTTGACGGAAATCTAAACTTTTCTATTTCAACAAGCTCAATAATCTTTTCCACAGAGGGATGTCAGAGGATGTCTTGCCACTGACAAAGCAAGCGAGGGGGGAGCAAAGCACACACACGAATGCAGCCTGGTCCTCCCCAGGTAATGTTGCCCACCGTGGCCGACCAGGGCTGACCGAGGGTGCTGAATGCTATCAAAACAGAAGTTGCAGAGGGTGGGCTGTCTTGCTGAAGCAGGTGACACATTCTCAAGAAGCCAGCCACAGGTAGACTGAACAAAGGCTCAGTCCTGGCCAGTCCCTTACCTCACCTGGGAAGTTTCCCTCCTTTGTCCATCATCTTGAGTTTGTTCTTATTTGTTTGTCTTCTCTCCCTAGGTGTCCTTAAACTGTGAGTTTTACATAGATATTCTAATCTTTCTCAAAACAGCATAAACTCCTTGATTACTGGGATGTTACAAATTCTTCCTTGTGTCCTTCATAGACTGCAGTAGTTTTTACACAGAAGGAACTCAAAAAAGGATTATCAACTATGGGTCCACTGGTGCCATCCTGAGCCCAGTGAACTACTGTGATGCCACCTGAGAACCAGAGAGCTCAGGGAAGTTGCTTTCTCTCTAGAGGCTCAGCCCTTCTTCTCAGGCAGGTGGGGGAATCTTGGGGCTGTTTGGAGGAATAAAACCAAATCATACGGATTGTTAAGCTATTATCCAGCAACATTCACCCAACCATCAATATCCTGGTTGACAAATACTGTTTCCCTGCACCCAGGGCATGGCTGCAAAAGATAAAGTATGACCAAATTTCCTTTCCCTGCCTTTCACAGAGTTGGCTAAGAGCTAATGTTTGTAGGATTCTCGCATATCAGTTTACAAAGTGAATTCACACCTTACTCAAGCTTCATCATAACTCTCTTGAGATTAGATTCAGGTGGACAGCACCAGCATTGTTGATAAACAAGATAAAACTGAAGCCCAAGTAGCCTAAGTAACTTGCTCAGGGCTACATAATAAGTAGCAGAGGCAGAACCAAAACCTAGGTCTTCTGATTCCTTATATACTCACTGCCACCTCCAGTCCACATGTCTAGAAAGAGCTTTATTAAAAATCAAACAGGGAAAGCAGGGAGAGTCTTTAGTCTTGCCTCAGAATTAAAGACAATACCTTAGTGCAAAACCTAGAAAAAGTATGTTAGCTCTATTTGAGAAGGTGGGTGGGCATGCTCTTTTGGTAAACCAAAGCATTGGTTAAAGACCAAGGCTAGCTGGAGAGAGCTCACAAGTGCCCATCAAGGTCCAGAGGGACTTTGCAAAGGATGTTCTGGGGATTTGAGGGGTTTTATCTGCACAGCCGGTGAGAGGAGAACGCCTGCCCTCATTCCCTAACAGCAGCTCTCGTGTAGCAGAGACCACCACCCCTGGGGGAGGGAGCCTCAGGGTGCTCATAAGCACAGATAAGCACCCAAAGCAGCTCTGAAACTCAGACACAAGGGATCTCATCATGGCTTTTGGGAAGAGCTAGGGGCCAAATGAATTCTGAGTACAGACTTTGGGGCCATCTCTTGAGCAACCAAAACAGAATTTAAGCCTTAGATATAAAAGTCCAAATACACTAGACACTCCTGTAAAATTTTCAGACTCTGTACATTGAAAAGGACCTCATTAGTTCTTATACTAAATAAGATAACTTCCACCCACAGGCCTAGGATCCACCCTCTGGAGCAAAAAAGCGTTGAGACTAACCTTTCTTTCCCAAGGCAGTGCTCAATCATCAGACGATAGCTCTTGTGTCCTCTCTCTCCTAACTTCCGCCCATACTTAATCTCAGTTTCTTTTTTTTTAATTAGAGTTTTTTTAAAAAAATATTTTATTTATTTTTAGAGAGAGGGGAGGATGGGGGATGTGAGAGAGAGAGAAACATCGATGAGAGACAGAAACATTGATCAGTTGCCTCTCACATGCATTCCTCACACACACACCCCAAATGGGGACCAAACCCAAAACCCAGGCCTGTGCCCTGACTGGGAATCGAACCAGTGACCTTTCACTTTGTGGAATGATGCTCAACCAACTGAACCACACCAGTCAGGGCTTGACCTCAGTTTTTTTGGCTTTTTTTCAAATGACATAGACCACATGGTACTGGTTACCTCTTTGGGGGCAACTTCCATTGAGTTCAAGAACGTTTTGAAATGCCAGGTTCAGAGCCCAATACATGACACACAGAGCTCATGACAGGTGTGGTCTGAGAGCTTTGAGTACAATGGGGCTACTACTCTGCTTAATCTGTACATTGTACTTTCACTAATCCAGCCTATGACCACACTGGCTATTTTGGCAGCAGTCACACTGTTGTACTTACAGTCAAATAAAAGCACCAGAACTTTTATGGGCTCTAGGTCTTACCCTCTTCGAAGCTAAAGAGCTGATAGGGAAGAGGAATACAAGTCTTGGAAATGAAAATGCAACTTAGTGTTTTCAAATGTGGCTGAGGAAACAACCAGCTACTGCTGGCTCTGCTGCTGCCCCATGGTGGGTACATGTGGGGATGGGAAGAAAGAGGAAGGAGAGGAAAGGACAAAGGATTGAATTTTGGTGAGAAGATTCTGAGAAACCAAACCACTGCTCCCTCATTCCTTTCCCTGATATGAGCTTGGTTTTGTATGTTCAGCCAAAGAAATCTCTATAATTCTAGGCTCACTGCAGGTTCTCAAGAAGTGGTTATTAGTGGAAGAAGTTAAAGCCTCTATTATGGTAAGCTTACCACAAAAAGGCCATACATCCAAAGACATTTGTTGAGAGCCTGTTACAGAGCCAATCAACTCTACCACCATCCTATACTCTCTCTCTTTTGGGAAATTTGCTCTTATGGGATTTTTCAATATCTGCACTCAACATGTTTAACACCAAACCCATTGCTCACACAAACTGGAGGTGAACAGAGACTCCCCCAACAGTGCTAAGGTGAGCAGCAGTAGTAGAGAGAAGGTAATCTAAGATAGGAAAAAACACAGACTTTTGGAAACAAACGTTTACTGATATAAGTATAAAAGGCTCCTATACATTAGTAGAGGACAAAATAATGCCCTAGATGACAAATAATCTACCTGAAGAGGTAAGCTGCAAGTGAAAAGATAAAATTATTTTAACAAATAACATAACAGGGCCACCAAACAGCTGTGCCAGGCAGTGTGTGGTTTACACAGAGATTACTGTGGGACTGCAGAAGTCACCTGCCCTGGGCTGGTCAGGGGAGCCCTTGTGGAGAGATGAGATTTGAGTGAGTAACTATTATACTTTAGATAAGCAAAAATAAGAGGGAGACCATTCCAGAGAAGTGGAGTGGTATAAACAGAAAATTGGAGGGAGCACAGCCAAATATGTGTTTGGGGATAGTGAAGAAAACAGTTCCAAGTTCATCAACCAGAGCAGTAAGGGGACACCAGAAAGATAGGTTGGAAAGAAGGCTACAAAACATTAGAATTCTGGGTAACTGTGAACTTTATCTATGGGCCAGTGATTTCCAAATTTGATTATATACCTCTATCAGTAAGCGTAATTTTGGTTATGCATTCCCAAAGCCTGTAACTTACTTATAAATTACACACATATATCTTTGTTACTATATTACCATATGTACACATTAAAACATACACAAAACTTTCAATGAGATAAAAAGATGCTAATATTTTCTTCCTGCATCTCAATGAACTGTCTTGTGTATCTGAAGGCACCCCACAGTGGAAAACAACTACTTGTGTAGCCGATAAGGAGGTCGTGAGCCTTTACCAAGGAGGGAGGCAACAAACAGTGCTTGTGAAAGACCCAACCGGAGAGTGAGGCTGGGAGGCAGGCCAGAGTGGGGAAAGGTCAAGCAATGGATGCTGGAATAGTCCAGGCATGAGGTCAGGGCCCAGGCTGCGGTGGCAGAAAAGAAAATGCAAAAAAAGGATGATTTTTTTTTTTATGCTCACCTGAGGACATGCACATTGATATTTTTAGAGAGAGCGGAAGGAAGGAGGAGAGAGGGAGAGAAAAATCAGTCAGGTGCCTCTCACATGTGCCCCAACTTCGGAACAAACTCGCAACCTAGGTATGTGTCCTGACTGGGAATTGAACCTGCAACCTTTCAGTTTATAGGATGATGCTCCAACAAACTGAGACACACTGGCCAGGGCAGGATGATTTTTAAGGAAAAAAAAATAATGGTGTTTGGAGAATGAAGAGGCTATATGGATTGGCGTAGAGAGGAGAGTGGAGCAAGTGAGGAGTGGTCAGAGAGGTGAGCTTTGCAAAGTCAGTGCAGGCCCATGGCAGTGCTCACCGCTCACCCGTGGGCCAGGGAGAGATGGCGGGAAAGTGAACAGGTCCCCAGAATTTGACAGTAGGTACTGGAAACACCAGCTAAGTTTTTTTTTAATTAGAAAGGAAAGTTAGAAGAAAAAGGAGAAAGTCATGCGCGTTAATTTCATTGGTACTCCATAAGAGCTGGGTTATTTAAAAAGGGAGTTCCTGTAATTAAAATTATTATTGGGCAGCTTTCCCCGGAGAGCATCCATCCTTTTCTTCTCATTCCTGAGCCAAAGAGAGAAGTGTTTAAAAGGCGCTGATTAACAGGACTGCCGAACAGAAGTCTGGCAGAAACACAGACATTTATCCTAATGAGAGTTGCAATAAAAACAAGGTGAGTGACATAAATGGGAGCAAAGGAAAGGAAAAGGCTTCAAATTGTCATACTGTACTGATACACTTATTATTAGTATTCTTGTTTATTTGATTATAGCACACTTAAATGTAAAAATATGGGAGTAAAGGAACAGCGCTGCCTGGAAAGGAGCTCTTTCACCAGCATTAGTGCCAAAACCCCGAACCAGCTCGGGTTCATAGCGGAATATGCACCAACTCCCTTAAGTCTTTTGGTGAGGTAGCTGCGTACTCGTGCCCATTCTCATTTATAATCAGCAATTGACTTGTGTATGACTTTGCGAGCCAGAAGACTATCTGAGGTCCCCAAATAAAATTACTCAGTGCTTTCAAAGATCCGATCCATGTTCTGTGTCTCCACAGCAAAGTTAGCTTCAGGGCCACCCAGACACACATCAGTCACTGTCAAAATGTCACTGCCCTGGAGGCCAGTGGACCAGGCTTATAGGGAAGCTATTTTGTCTTGAATACTTTTCACCTCTCATCAATGTCACAGTCCCCAAAAAGTCTGGTAACTGCCCACACCCATTCCCAAACAAATCCCAAAAGCACTCTGGGGCACAGTTTTTTTAGAAAGCACCACTAGCTGGAAGCGATCCCGTAGGAGGAATGAGGGTAGGTGCAAAAGAGGACATTGCTGATAGATGCTAGGCCCTAAGAGCCACATGGAGGGTGAGATACAGGCAGGGTTGCCTGCAGGACCCCCACTTACCAGCTTGCTTTTGACCAACTGTTCTATTGCACTGACAAGGTCTGCAGCAGTAGGTACTTCGGCGGAAGCCTGCCGGGCTGCTAGCAAAGAGGAGGACTGCAAGACATTGAGCAGCAGAGGAAAAGCAGATTAGCAAGGAATGAGGAATAGCAATTAGCAAGCAAAACAGCAAGTCCAAAGCTCAAGGCAGGCAAGGCAAGTAAAGCTCTATGATTTGAGGAAGGAGATGACAAGAGGGACACGGCGGCGGCGGCGGCGGGGGGGGGAGCGGGGGGCTGTGGGACAGGCCTGCCAGACCCTTTGTCAGAAATTCTGGCCAGAAGTGAAGCAGGAATGAGGCTAGGCTCTCCCTAGGGAGGCCACCAAAGGAGCTGGGGGGGGGGGCGGGGTTGCTGCCTTCGTTCGCTGAGAGACTAGTAGGTAAGGGCTGTGCCTCCTGACAGCAGTGGGGTCGGGGGTGGTGGGCAGGTAAGACTTTGGCCACCATAGGGCTTCCCGTTGCTATTTCAGGGTACAAAAGGAGTCAAAAAGCCTAGTCTCGCGTGTGTCCAAAGAAAAGAAACTGTCCTTGCTTTATTTAGGTGTAGATCTGAGATATAGATCTTCACTGTGTGCCAAGCAAAAATCAAAAATGCTGGGGGCAGGGCACTTAGAGACCAGAAAGGTAGACACCTACTCCTTGCACCCCCTACTCCCTTGCACATTCAGATACACACTCCTCCAAACTGGGACACTAGGAAGAACAAAAGGCTTTAGCAGGACTTGTGTGTCATGTGCTGGAGAATGCAGGACTCTCCTGTTCACAGAGAAGGGAGGCTCAAGGCCAGGGGCTGTCCCTCTTCCCTCATACCTACAATGAGGATTAGTCTATGTGACTCTTTGGACAATGTTTTGGGGACTCCTGCTCACTGAGGGGTGGTGGTATATTTTCTTCCTGCTTCTGCTTGAGAAGAAATTGGGGGAAATGATTAACCCTATGTGCATGTGCAAGCTTTTACCCCTGGCACATCAAAGAAGAGGGCAATGGTGTTCCCAGAGCCCAGGACACACACATCTTCAGCCTTTGACACTAATGACTACGGGAGCAGAGAGTTGAATGTGCTCACTGTGCTCTGGTTTCCAGTTTGTCCCTGAAGTTAGAGTGAAGAGTTTCAAAATGGAAGCTTCTTTTTGCCTAATCTAAAGTGTGAGTTTAGGTCTTTGTTTCTGAGATGCGGTAAAAAGAAAACAAAACAAATAAATGTAGTTAAGAGAGATATAAAAAACACTCTTTTTTTCCTCCCTCCTGGGGAATACGGGATAAAAGTTGAGTCTGTTTGGAAATCCAAGTTATCAATTTTTTGACCTAGTAATTCTACCCAGAAACTTGTTTCAGGGATGGAAGTGAAAAGGACAAATGCTGTATGTAACAAGGGACCTGCAGCAATACTATCCAAAGCAGCAAAAATTAGAAACAACCTAGGGTATCTGAAAACAGGCTGGTCAAGCTAATTATGGCACCTCAAATATGTGAAATAGGCCCAAGCTAGTAAAATTATAGTTACAAAGGTAAAATTAATAAGATTTTAGGAAATATTAAATAAAACACACATGAACAAATATTAGAAAGAAACATGGAGACCTAATTGCACAACATTAACAATAGGTGGGCTTTTAAAAATTCCTTTTACACTATTGTAAAAATTATTTTTATAAATCCAATGCCATTTGCTAGACATTCTGAAGATTACCACATATTCCAGAAAAGCAAAAGAACAGGAGTCCAGCAAGCGGGACCGAGGTTAATGAGCCTAAAGAGGGACTGCTGCCATCTGCCTTATTGCTGGCTAAGAAAAGTCTATGTAAACGTCTGCGGGTAAATCCACATTTTCAGTTAAAATTTACCCAGAAACAACATCACATCCTTTCCCCAAAACAAGCTGTATCTGAGGGTGTTAGAGGGGGAGGGTTCGTGACCTTTATTTATCTTATTCAAGCTGGCACCTCAGTGTGGAGGGCTGTGTGGGATGGCAAATAATGTGACATGAGCATCCTACTCCCCACATACACTATCATTGCTCTCAGAGCATTTCACAAGGAGAGGCCTCTGGGAAAACAGCAGGTTGGCTCTTGTTCTCATCTCAAGGGAAGCACAGGCGCTTCTGCCTCTGGGAATCCAGGATGGCACCAAGCTATGCTTCCTGCTCCTTTTTTCCCAATAGTCAAGAGACAGAGCTGGCCCTGGTGACCAGGGTCACCAAAATCACCTTAGGAGGGGCCACAACTGCGTGCTTCTCATGGATGACTCATAGAGAAGTCCGGCGACCACATCTTAGTCACCATCCTGTCCCTAGAATCTGTCTCTGTGGCACAGAGGAATCCCTCAATTAATGTCTCTGGGTTAATGACCCAAATCTAAAGCAGAATTAAAACAAGAACTGGGCTGTCACCAGAAATGCTGAAGCATTCTGCATAATCCTTTTTGAGTTGTATCCTGGGCGGTATTGTATGCTAGGCCCACAGCATCAGAGGAAGCTGTCCTGCTGCAAGGCAGAGCACTGGAGAGCACAGGGGGACCCTGGACAGAGGCTAAGGCACCGCCACGGCCACCGCCACCCCCAGCCCCAGGCCCAGCCCCTGCCCCACCACTGAACAACATTCTGAAAAACAAACGCAAAGTACAATCACAAACTGAAACCAACTCTTCGTCTCCAGAGTCCAAACAACTGCAACTCTAAGAGAAGGCAAAGGCACAATGCAATGAAAGCGTCTGCAAAGAAAGTGAGCGATGAAGCACATGATTAAAGCAGCCTCGAGGCTCGGGTCAGAGCCTAAAAGCACATCCAACCTCAGCCTCTGCTCCAGAACAACCGGAATGACCACTCTGCGATTAGAGCCGCAGCACGGACCTCACACTTCAGACACCCGTGAGCCTCTGCCAGGGAGTCAGGGCATTTTTGCAAAACAGAGAACTTGAGCAAGCTGGCATGTTAGGTTTGCCCACCTTGGACAGCAACCTCTCCTTAGCACCATCTTTATCCTCATGTTGTGTTTGCAGAATTTTACCACCACTCGCTTGACTGGAAGTTACCGTTATTTCAGTTTTAGAGTTGAGCATAGGGAAAACAATCAACTAAAACATAAGTCATACATTCAGGTACAAGAAAATGATCACAGCCTAGAGCTACCTCAGATTCCTTTTTGAGACTAATAATGCCTTTAGTCTTTTTGAGACTAATAATGCCTTTGTCTGCTTCCAAAGACAGAGAGCCATTACCCTTCATTAACAGGACAAGGTGCCAGGCAGATTCTCACTCTGAGCATTTTGCACACATGGCTACACTGCCCAGAATGAAGTCAGACCTCAGGGACAGGGAGAAGACCCTTACCAGACACAGTCAGAATGTACATCCCCATGGATTCATGTGGTGTAAGAGATAACAAGGGTGAGAATATTACAGCCCCACCCCCCAACCCCAGTAAACAAGAAATGAAATCACATGGATTACATGCTGCTCTTTCAAGTGAGAGAGTGAAGAAGCCCTACCATCTCATCCTGCGTAGGGTCATTGTCAAAGATCTTCATAGGTGGAGGCAGCGGGGTATGTGATTCTTCATCTGGCTCATCTTCACCCCAACCTTTCTTGCTCTTCTAGAACAAAAGAGCAGCATTAGTCACTGTTTCATACAGCTAAAGATGCCAATGGACTTGCAACTTTTAAAAAAGCAACATAGAAGATACCTCCTCTCTCAACAGACCCCTGTTTTGTTTTTAGCCTCAGTGTCCTCCTCTGTAGAACAGGTACACTTGCTTACCTCAAAGGACAGTGAGGACCAAATGGGGGAACACACACACACACACACACACACACACACACACACACACACACACGAGAAACAACCCCCTCATTGATTAGCCAATGAAAGAGAATGCTGAGTGTGATCAGAGAAAGCCTAACTTCTTACATGTTTGAAGGACTATAAAACCACAATCTGATTATCACCAGGCTCCACTGACATTTTCACAGGAAGAAGTGGCAGACAGCATAAAATTACAAAGAGGGTATGGTTACATAGTAGGAAGTGTTTCTTAGCCACATGAGTAACTAGAGTAGGTTAGTTTGCCAGATCAAACAGCTATCTCTTTCCACCAACCAAAACATACCCACTCTATTTTGATCACAGAATCTCAGCTTTGGAAGGACGCTCAGAGGTCATCCTGACTGACCTCTTGGCTAACATAGACATTTTCTGTTACGTGAGATCACAGAGCCACCCAAACCCTTCCAGTATGGGTGTTCATTCATTTTCATGAAGGTTCATTCCATTCCTAGTTGACACCCGCCTCCTGCCCCTGTAAAGTCTCTCTTTGAGCTGAAACCTTACCTGTTACAACTTTCACCTATTAATCATAATTCTCCCCTCAGGAGCAAACTGGACTTGTCCACCCCCTTTTATAGGTGGCACTGCTCAAGATACTTGTAAACAGCTGTAATCTCCCAGCAGTCTTCTGTTGTCCCAGTGAAATGATCTCTATTCATTTATTCCTATTCTAAACAGGCCTAGCAAGGCTTGATGCAGTCCTTAGCAGTGGAAGGGGACTAGGTGAGTAACCGGCTCCCCTTGGTGCCAATTCTGGCAAAACAGGGTCTATGTACTGAATATCCTAGGTGATGGTCAGTCTGAATTGGTCACAAATGAAACTGGCAAGGTCTTGACAATACAGAGAACATGGGTTACTTAGGCTCAATAAGAAACACTACTGGGGACTAGAGACTGCCTTGTTCACCACACCTGTGGAAAGATGCCTCACAGGGCTCCAGGAAGGGTGTATGTCAGAAGCCCCTTCCTGGAGGCCACGTGTAAATACCTCATCAGCACTGTCTCCGTGAGGGGTCGTCTCATCCCCAGGCTTGGGAGATCCCAGGTCGAAGCTCTTCCGACCATCGCGTACTTTCTTCTGCTTCTTGATGTTTCCATCTGTTTTCCCACTGTTGAGCCGGCGCACAGGACTCGTCAGCCACTTCTTAAGGGTGTTGGTGGAGCGCTTGGGACCTGGGGAGCTGTGGATGGAGTTCAGGGAGGGCTGAGACTGCAGGTTGGCCACTGACTCAGACTTGCCTCCGTTTTCACTTGAGGAATGAGAGTATGCATCTGAGGAAAAAGGACAGAGAGACATCACATGTCAGAGGCAGTTAAGGTACCTGCCAGCCTGGGAGTAAGAGAGCTCTTTCCTCAGGAAGCTAGAACACAGGCAGAATGTCAAGGCCAGCTGCAGACCCCAGTCAAGGCCATACTCTCAGGAACAGCAGTAATAGTTGACACTCATTCGGCTTTTACTCTATAAGGCACCAGCCCAGGTGCTGTGGATCCAGCAGAGAAGACAAAGAGGCCTGCCTTCATGGAAAAATCAAGGTCGTAAGCAAGAGTTACCAACCAACAACAATGTTACAGAGCACCTATTAGTGTTTTTTAAAGATATGTAAGTCCAAGTGTTTATTTTCACAAACCTTCTATCTAGCCCCACACACACACACACTCACTCACTCACTCACTCACCCACTCACACAGAAGCAGGGAGAAGGGGAGAAGAGTGAAAGAGCAAGTCAGAGCATACAAAGTAAACATAAATTCACACAGAAGTTTGTCAGTAATTGCCAAAGTGCTGCTAGGCACTTTAAACAGTAAAGCCCAGAGTTCAGAGGAGGGCCAGGTTGGTGTTGGTGGGACTGGTCTGCAAAGGTTTGCAGAAAGAGATGTGTCTGACGAGAGAAGGGAGAAGAAACTCCAAAAGGGGAAGAGGGTGGGGACAAAAGCATACAGTCAGGAAAATTGGAAAGTTAAGTTACCATAGTCCATAAGTAGATCTTTTGAATAAAATGAAGATTAACAGAGAAGAAACTGGGTAGAAAGATTAGTGAGGACACTTAATAATAAACTAGAGGAGTCTGAACTTTACTGCGAGATTTTTCTGGAATGACGATAAAAAGGTTTTTTGGTTTGTTTTTTTGTTAATGAATCTGGCAACTATATGAAGTCTGTCCAGCCATAGTTAATATAAAGAAAACAGTTTGCATGACTTTAATGTAAACTGGCAACCAAAGAGAGTGGACTGGAATGCACATGTGAACAATGATGACTTAACTGTGCTAGTCAGTGAAGGCGGTAGATGACATTGAGTGAGCATGTATGTACTGTGTGGCTCTCACATTCAAAATGACTGAGCAAGTAGAGCAATGAATCTGCAGCAAATTTTGCATTAAGCTTGAACATTCCTCTGCAGAAAATACTCAGATGATTCAGAAGGCTGCAGCTATGGGCAACTGGTGATTGGCAGCTTCATCACAACAAGGCACCTGCTCATGCATCATGTCTGGTGCAGTTTTTTGGTGAAACATCAAAACACTCAGGTGACTCAGCCTCACTACAGCCCAGATTTGGTGCCCTGTGACTTCTGGCTTTTCCCAAAACTAAAGTCACATTTGAAACGGAAGAGATTTCAGGCCACTGATGAGATTTAGAAAAATACAACAGGGCAGCTGATGGCGACTGGGAGAACTGTGTGAGGTCCCAAGGCACCTACTTTGAAGAGGATGGAGGCATCATTTTCCTATGCACAATGTGTCTTGTATCTTGTGTCTTCAATAAATATATCTGCTTTTCATAGTATGTGGCTGGATACCTTCTGGACAAACTTCATATGTAGCATATCCCTGGGAAGAGGGAGTTAGAATCCCGAAGGCCACACTAGGGCTGTGCCCCGGGACTGTAAAGGAATGAATGTGAGACATTTCAAAGCAAGAAGTGATACCGTTAGTGTCTGGATGGCAATCAAAGGTGAGTTACCTCTCAGTATGCTGCTGCTTCTCATTACCGAAATGGTCTTGGGGGAATACCTGACCAGCTTTACCTTGACCCCCAGTGCCCTCCTACCATCACCTCAGTGCCAGTACACATACTGATAGTTAAACTAAACTCATGACTAGGTATTTAAACAAATTATTGGAGTGGTTTTTTATACCTACTTATCTCAAAGACTGAATCACCTTTCCCATTATGACTTTATCCTAGACCTAGCCTAAAGGTCTTATCTAGCCTTGGAGGCCCTCTGGCCTAGACAAAGAAGAAACAAAATCCTGAGAGAAGGTGAACAAATGTTTTTGCCAAACAAATGTTTTAACTCCAGCTTCTACAACTAGCTGATCTCGAGGGCACCAAGCTTGACCCTGCAGGGACTTTCTTAGATATTGCAGCAGTTTTTTATATATTTTAGAAAATAACAGCAGAATATTTGCATCTAGAAGCATAAAAAAAAAATGAGCTCCTACAGTTCTCTGGTATGAAGAATAACTTACAGGGCTGCCCTGCTGAGGGAAGATTTGGGGATCGACTGACTTGGCTGGCGTCCCTTTAAGGCAAAGTTGTAATCTTATCTCAGAGAATTCCTTGCTGGCTGTGGTCTTGGGTATGTTGACATTACTTCTGAAGCGTAGGTATGGGTCAACCTCCTGTTCTCAGAAGCCTCGGTGATAAACATCTCCCAGCACTGGCAGTGGAACCAGGGCCTTTCTGTTATCTTTTCACTGATAAGCTGCAGAAGCTTTTCATTCACCAGGCCCCTCTGATGCCGCATGGCTTTATTAAATCCAAGCCTTCATAACTTAGATTTATCAGCACATGCTCTGTCAGCAGATTAATGAGCCCAGCCTCATTAATCGTGCCTTGTGTGACTTAGCAAGACAGATGACTGTCCAAGTTTTCTGTTCCATGGCAAATCATAACTTGGCTTTGAGATTCATGAATGCAAAGTTTGACTGACCCTACTTTTTCTCCCATTGTCATCTGGTTCTGCTTTGGTGCATTCTGTACAAACTAATGGCGAGAGTACAAATTACAAAGTACAAACTACAAATCAAGACTATTCTCAATTTCGTTTTTCCTGTATAAACCATTAGGGCCATTCAACCACAGTCCACGTAAAAGAGAAATCAAGAGATGGAAGCAGTCTATGATTCATCATCAAGGTAGAACTGAGACAGAGCCATTGCTAAATAGCTGTTTTTCTTGTTTATTTTTGTCTTTCAGTGTTGAGATATAACTTTAATATGTATAATTGTTTCAGTTTTGAGACTTGTAACACTATATTTGTCTAAGTGTACAACACAATTTGATATATGTATGTGTATTGTGAAATGTTTACTACACTCAGTTTAGTTAGCATCCATCTCAATAGTTACAATTTTTTTTTTATTGTGATGAGAACTTTTACTAAATCACTTCAAATGTATGGTTTTAAAAGAATGTGGCATCATTTAGTTTAGAAAATTTGTTCCTGGTTTATTACTACTTCAAGAAATGATTGGTGTGTTATGCTAGCTGTTTGAGAACTTATTTTAATACCTTTCCAGGCGCAGCAGTTAAGGACTGATCTGTAACATCTTCAACAATAATACTATTCTCTCATCAAATCTTCCCAAGCTCAGGCAGGTGCTATTTTATCCTCATTTTAAGAAACAGATAATCAGAATATTTTAGGACCCCCAAGGCTCATAGTTAGTAAGTGTCTGTGAGGCAAGATCTCAATCCAGATCTGACTCCACTGCATAAATATCCAATATTATTCCTACATCTGTGTTCATTCCATGTATTCCTTTAGCCTCTATAATTATTGTAAAAAGGAGCATGAAGTAACTAGTCTTTGTAGCATTTCAAATATACATTAATATATAATTTATATAAGTTGTAAAATTTCAATATTGAAAATAGTCTCAGTAGCACTGATTTTACAGAGAAGGCAATGGAGGTTTGGAAATGGGAAATCCACTGTCACAGTTAAGCTGATCATAAAGCTAGGACCAGAATCCAGTCATCTCTATATCTGCTCCGGTGCTTTGAAACAAGACTTCCTCTTTAGCCCTGAGGTATAGAATTAGCCCATTAGACTGACATCTGGTTTTACGTCACTGGGAAGACAAATGTGTCCCTGGACACTGCAGGTAATAAAGTTCCCTGAATGTTCCCCATTTGCTTTCTTGATCAGAAAAAAAATCATATTCTGAGGTTAATTGAACTATGAAATATTTTTAAATACAGAAAACGTTTAATATCCATATAGCTGCCATTTAGATATAATAAATGTAAATATTTTGCCATTTTTTGCTTCAGCTTTTAAGAAACAAAATAAAATGTTGTATAGTTAAAGCCTTTTTATTATTTTTGCCTATTTGCAATCCTATTACCCAATTTACCCTCCCAGAGTTAAATTCTCTACTGATGTCAGTGGGCATTTTTTCCATTGATGTTGTTAGCCACTTGTTGTGTATGCAAATATATTATTATTTTGTGTTTTATATAATTGTCATAATGTGGGCATTATTTTGTAACTTGCTCATTTATTCAAAGTTATTTGATTTATCTGTGTTCATATATGTAGATCTATATACTTCGTTCATTTTAATTGTTGAATAATATTCTTTCTTAGGATATATGATGTTTGGAATACATTTTCATAACAGCAGGCATTTAGGCTGTTACAAACACCATCTCCCCCCACAAAGACGCACAGGTGTATAGTGATTTTAAGCAATCCTGTAGAGGTCTCGTGGCATACATGTAAGAATTCCTTTAGGACAGGGCTTCCCAAACTGTCGGGTCAGAGTCCCAGTTTTCTTATTTCTAGTCTGTTTTGGACCAATACTTTTATAACATAAAGTCACATTCTTGAGTGTCATAGAAATGTCAAATTATTATAAAAGTTTCTAAATACTTACTTTCATTTCCTTTACTTATCCCACTGAGGATTGGAAACAAATAGCTCATCTTTGCTATCTGCAGATCACACACTGAGTAGCACGACTCTCAACTCTGCGGTATTTAAAGCACATACAAGATCTGTCTGGAAAAAAGTCCAGCCATTGTTAATATAATGAGAATGGTTTGCGTGACATTAATGTAACCTGACAGCCAACAAGAGTGGACTGGAATGTGCACATGTGAACAATGACAACTTCACTGTACTAGTCAGTGAGGGCAGTAGATGCCACTGAGTGAGCACGTGTACTGTGTGGCTGTCACATTCAAAATGACTGAGCAAGTACAGCAACGAATCTGCATCAAATTTTGTGTTAAGCTTGAACATTCCTCCATGAAACTAT